TTGCGTACCTCAAGTGTTCCGTCATTTCGGGGCACTTCAGACATTTCTATAAAATTGGTTAATCTGTTTTCGTTCATCATTGTACTTATACGTAAGCAACTTTAGTAGCATAGTGTTGTGAACGAAAGAAAGAACAGTAACCTTGAATATTTCAAGGTAATACATTGTAACTTTTTAAAATTTGTTATATTTGTGATGTTACTGATCACATGACATTGGATCGACTACTGTGAATCAAGTACGTGAAGTTGTGTTCTTGTATAAAATTTGTTCGTGTTTGAGCACAATTCTATATCAGTTTTATAATTATATGGTGGGACCACATCGAGTACTAAGAGATAGGTAGCATGTTATTTGAGAACCCGATTTAAGTCCTGGATGATGCATCTACAGACACCAGCAGTAGTAGTGTCCTCTTTAAAAGACAGCAGCCTTGTCATTTTCCTGACAGAAATTTCGACTGCTGCCAAAAAGTTGTTTTCTTAATGATTGCTATTGAGCGAACTGAATTTTTAAACGCGCTTATCTAGCAAATACGACGATTGTGGCGTGTTCCGGGCAAAGTCGATCGAAGCAAGGATGATTTCCATCCACGAGACTGTTACGTAGCATTGTCGAGACCGAGCCAGAAATAGGGCGAATGCAGATATCGATCGAGTTTATATCGTTGCATATATTCAGCCGTCTTTTGTTAGTGCTACGTACTATGCGAGATATCATTAAACGTACGCTTGTTTTTACAATCGGTCTTGTAAATGCATACTCCTGGTGATATCACTAGTGTTTTAAGATACCGACTGTCTTTCATCTGATCACAACAAGTGCTCCTCCCATTTGGCAATGAACTCTGGAGCCTGGGGAAGGGTAGCAATATTTCGTTCAAGAGGGACCTATCTGAACAGTGAACTGGCATGGAAAAGTGCTCTGAAACTGGTCAGTATGAAAACGCTGTCATAAATGACGGTGCTTCATGTGGGAATGCTTTTTTGTGTGGGATGGTGTATGAAGGAAGAAAATTGTAATCAAGTAAATGTTGTTGTAGCAGAAACACGAGTTTTAAATTGTCCTAAAGATATAGGCACTGATTGAATCACTCTTACCTGTTCTTGAAACAGAGTCCACTTAACAAACTTTTTTCAACCTTGAAATAAATCTACATAACTTATCATTGAATTATTGTTTTCTTATGGTCATTACGCTTTGAACCAGAATGTGGCACTTATTGGATTCAGCTGTAAATCCATTTTATTTATTACATACTCTACCTTGCCACTGATGATGACCCTTTGAAAAGACGCTTAGTGACACGGTATGCAAGGTTTTAAGATAACCAGAAATACTTTTGTGATGTGATAATACTGAAGGTAATATGTTGTAGGTAACATATTGAATGCAGGGAACAAAGATTGTGTGAAAAAAATCCACTTTAAAATCCATTTGGTAGCCATTGACAGCTGTTATCCTAGTGTACAGTGGTGGTGGTGGTACAATAAGACAATGTTGAAATATTATAATTAGCACAGTTCTTCATACTATGGAGTTTAAATTCCAGTCAGGAGATCAGCTGCCTTTCAAGTTGTTTCTGGTTTTTGATAGCCACTCTAAGCAGTTACTGATAGATAATCTTGAAATAGGTCATGACCACTTCCTGCTGCACCATTTGAGTTCATCATTTATGAGCATTCTTCCACCTTGGCTCATTTGACGCTAAGTAACCAAGAAAAGTGTGTATATCTTTTCCCCAATAGTAGCTTTGGAGTTGGTGTTGCATATAAATGGTGCAGATTTATTGTGGTATTGAATTTACATCATAGCAGTTTTTGGGGGATAATTACAGACCCAAGAAACTTTGTGAATTATAGCAGTAGAAGCATGCTACAACATTTTTAGGTTAGCAGATTACTTCTGTTCAGGTTGAGGTTTTTGTTACATGCAGATGTCCAGCGACAGTGTGGAGATGCGAGAGATGGCAGCTCGTATATGTCGCGATTATCTTCGTGGCTCATGGAGGAAGATCACAGCGAGGAACATTGTTCTCAAACGCATCAGGTAAATTACTCTTATTTGCAAATATGAGCCAACCATTGTTATAGCAAGACACATAATTACTGAACTTGTACTGTTTCACAATTTAATCTTTGGGTGAACACTGCTAATCTCCATATGGATCAGGATTAATCCTTTTCTGATAATTTTTTTTAGTTATGTGGAACAATGGCTAAGCAAAAGTATTTTTAAGTTTTAAGGTTTCTGTTATGTAGCTGTGTGCAAGGATAGGAACTGATGGCAGGCTTAAATTGTCACAGTTTCTTAGTTGCAGAGACAACACAAATTCAAAATTTTTTTTATATATGTTCTGTCAGTTGTTCAACTTATGTAATGATGTTTTATGGGTTTGTTTACAGTGAGGCATGGAAGTGATAATCATAACTTTGAGAGTTCTCATTTGTTATCTGTAAATGTCATTATAGTTACATGCATAGTTTACCTTTATTAGAATATGTTTTTAAAAAGGTAAAGGAATGTACATAATTACCAATGTAAATGCCATTAATTTTGTTGTTTTATTATGTTCATTTGTGTGTGTGTGTGTGTCTGTCTAACCTTTGTTTCTTCCTTCATGTGGCCATGTTCATGTTCACGTTCACAGCCTCACTTGACCTATGAAAATATTAAATTTTTTCAAAGCATATTTAACATAGTTTTTGAGGAATATAACCTTTGTGTTTATTGAGTGTTTCCGATACAGTGGACATGATTTGTAGCTAGATGAACTTCAATGTAATTTTTTGCTATGAAACCTTTTTATATCAATATGTTTATTTTATTGTGTATACACATGGTGTGTGTGGATTGAGGTACGGCTGTCTCTCACATTCTCATTTGTTTAATGTTAATATATTAGCCACGAAAATTTTTATTTCCCTTACCTCTTTTAACATTAACATTTGTCATGAAAATATGCTAGTGCAGTCAGATCTGATTTATTCAGAGTAATGTTGAAAGAAAGTGCCAAAATTTAAATACAACATGAAGAACATTGTCATATGTGAAGGAGTCTCATTGTGAATTTATCTTGCTCTCTTCCTTAAATGTTTTTGTAAATCTCCACATGACACTGGTTTGTCAACTGTTGGTGTATTCCGTTTCTCAAAGAACAGTTTCCGACAGCAGCCGGCGCAACAGAGACTGACTCTGTTCACAGCTGTAAATCCTTTGCATGTCCAGTATTTACCTTCTGGCCTGGGGTGTTTATTTCAGTTGTTTCTTACTGTTTTCACAGTGGTTTCATCAGAAAGGGCTGTATAACATTAACTGTGAAATGGCAGGTGCTTATGTTTGGTACTTGGGAGGAATTAATCCTATGGTACTGTCTTATCGCTTACCTAGTGGGACTGAGTGAAGTTATTAGAAAACTCAGTAAATATGGCTGACACCACAGCGTTGATTAAGGAAGACATGAATACAAAGCAGGAGTATCTATTACACAAAGTTATTCATTGCAGTCACCTGTCACAAAAAACAGGTTCACATTATGCATCCAAATATAATTTTATTTCTTATCGTATGGCAAAATTTAGTAACACTGACAGGATTGGTACCAAGCAGGTTTTTGTTACTTGTATTTGGAATGAAACTGGTTCATAGGCCGGCGTAGCTCAGTCAGTATAGTGACTGGCTACGGACCGGACGACCGGGATTCGAGGATTTTTCCTCTAGACTCTGTGTCCAGACCGGCTCTGGGGCCCACCCAGCCTCCTATCCAATGGGTACCGCGGTGCTTCCTCCCCGGGGGTAAAGCGCGCCCGGGGCGTGATGCTGACCACTTACCGCCATCTAGTGCTGAGATCAAGAATGAGTAGGAGCTATACATCCACTTCCCCCCAAGCACCTACATGGCTTATAGTGGGACAGCTTTTAGTTTGAAATGTGCACAAGATTTTTCTGTACTTTCTTTACCATACACAAAAGATCATTGTTTTATGCAGTTGAAGTTGATCCACAACCCATATAACTGGGATGCTTGTTTCTGTAACAGTATCTCGTACATGACAGAGAAGGTGCCAGTTGTGGTCTTCTACCCCTCAAAAAAGGAACTGATACATTCCTCTGAGACCACCTACACAGTTGAGTGATTACACTTCATATTATGGAGTTCTGTGGTTTGAATTTTGGCCCAGAGACTGGATGTCCTGACCAGTTTTTCATGGATGTTCTCAGTTGATGCAGGAATAGCATTCCTGAAATAGGCCATGAACAACACTTCCATATTCTTTTGAGTTAATTATTAATTAATCATCATAGCATGGGATATTGATATTGTTAAATAAACAACAAGCCGGAAAACTACAGTTGACATATTACATATTTAATTATAATTATTTATAATTGGAAATATGGAGGGATAAGGACAGTTTATATTCAGGCACTGCACTTGTAATCTTCCAGTGGCGGACTGAGCAATTGGCTGTATCACGTCTCCCTTCCTGAGTCACACCCCCCAAAATCATCAGAGCCATCTCAGGTGCTGCTGAGGCTCTATGGGCAGGTGCATGGCGCAGAGAGGGCTTTAGAAGGCCTGATCACAGAATCTGTTATTTTCACTCTGCTCTCAGAAAGGCAGCTTGGCCCTAAATTACACGGAGTTTTCCCTGGTGGACGTATTGAGGAATATATTCCAGTAAGTATCTTTTCATCTTTAACCGCACGTTTAATAGACAAGTTGTATATTTATGTCTTGGAATGTTCCTGATTAATCAATACCAACTTCATCACCATCACTGCAGCAGAGAGTCAAATTTGTCTGTTGATGAGCATGCACGAATAAGTACCTGGGTGTAATATGCATGCTTAATTAGTTCGCCCATGTTTTGATATTTTGTCACATGTTTCTGCTTCATATGGGAAATTCTTATTCCCCTGTATCTGTTGGTAGAAGAAAATGTTGCCAGTTAGAAGGTTAAGAGATAGCACTTAATCTTGATTTGTAAATTTTATAACTGTGGGATGTCTGAACAGAGAATTTTTCACGTCAGTTACAGGGTGATAGTTTGGTAACAGTCAGCTGAAAATAAATGCAAGTTAAATTACTTTGTTCCAGTAGGGAACTTTGGACTGGCGGAAAAATACTTTTTTATGCAACCATCTATTTTTCAGGCTCGTCCTTTGAAGACCAAGGAACTCGGTGATAATCAGCTCAGTGTCTTGATCGCAGAGAAGATGGCAAACATCCATCAGATGAATGTCCCCATCAGTAAGGAACCACGGTGGCTATGGGACACTCTTAATGGGTAAATTACTTATTAGAAACACTTTTTAGATGTCATTTGAATAAAAATTTTCTTGGATATTATCCATCATCTGGTAAATAAATTATAAAACGTAAAACAACGTTTTGGAGGTGGGGCTCTATCTCCGTCTTCAGGTGCCTACTCGGTTGGGCCCACTAGATAGAGCTAATCCCTATCTCCAGACCTTTATTTTATTTAAACGACTGATCACCTTCAAAAACTTTTAGATTTGATATAATGTTTAGATGAATGATCAACAAGGATGTGTTATCTTGAATCTGTTGTTACTGGACTTACCATAGTTTTTAAAAAGTAAGAGCCTGTGGCCAGTGTCGTCATCATCAATAACGATGATGGTGATGATAGTTTAACTCCTCCATTCAATTTTAATCTCGTTTCATCTTAGTTTGTACCAGAAATAATGTAGATTTGATGTTGCAGCTGTGTATTGGATGGGGAAAATTATTAGTAGAACTTGTAAAATGTTTAACTCTTACAAGCCTAGTGGTAACTGAATGTACCATCAGCTTTAATAATCCAATTCTGCATTTTGGGTTTGTATGATAAGATTAAACATCAATTACTTCCCTAAACAGGGTTGACAAAGTGGTTTTTGTAAGAGATAAGTGTTGTGTTCTTTTGCAGTACGGACCACCCTTCAAAGGATTAGATTAATTTTATCATTCAAAGCCAGGTATCATTATGAAGGGTATGCAGATAAATTGCTGTGTTGGATAGAATAAAGATTAATAATGTTCACAGAATTTTCTCACGTGCTGTCCTTGCATGATCTGATAATCCTTCATAATTCAGATTTGTTCACATAAGAGAATACTTTTGATTTATGAGCTACATATGTTGAGAAAATGTGATAAGTGGGATTTTAAGTGCAGATGTTAAACAAAGATTAAAATTACAAAAAAGTTGAATGCCACGTATGATTATGTTTCCTGTTTGGGACTGTGCATAAATTATTATCAGCACATTGAAGAGTTAGGAAGAAACACTGAAGATAATTGAAGTTAACCTTCCATATAAGATGGTTCTATTACATTTGCCCTTTCTTCTGACAAACTTCTTTCCTCCGACAAGAAAAATAGTAACTTGACATATATATTTGAAGTATTTTATCAATGGTTAAGAGTAATTGATAATTGAATAATTTTTGTCTTGCGGTAGCAATAATCATTTCTTTTTTACAGATGGCTGAAGAATGTGCAAGCAAATTTGGAGGACCCGGGTATAGTGGAGTCTGAAAATGAAACCATGGTGCACAAACTTAAAATGTACAATTTACCTTCGGAGATAGAATGGCTCAGGTGAGTGGATTTTCAGTCACGTATTCATTGACATAGTACAGTTATAGGAATTCAAACAGTGTAGCTGAACAAGGACATCTTGGACATTTAGTTTATTTTAAAATTACAAATTTTAAAGCTGATTCTGTTCCCAGCAAAGTTTTTCAAATCCAGTAGCAGTTTTGATTACTTTCCAGTTATATGTGTTTACCTTTGATAGCAGAGTGAGAGTTTGAGGTTTTTATTTTGTGTAATTTTTTGTGTGTTTAAAGGAAATGATAAAAGATAATTTAGGTTCTTTAAACATGAAGAGCAGACTTCAAAATAGATTAATGAATAGATCAGTTTCAAAAATTAGGAGCAGGAACAGATCAGTAAACCTGTCTCGATGCTAAAAAAGAAAACGTGCATTACGTTTTATAAAATGTTCCTAAAGGAATGGCATTTGTAGACCATAAAATTATTTCAGTATCTGTGAAACCAAATTGACACAACTGTCCAAGATTGTTAGTGTGATTAGTACTGTTTCTGATTCTGCGTGATGATTCATTGAAGTCGTGCTTCTGTGTATTGTACTTTCAGTTCTGGCGTGGACATTCAGTATTTTTAAGACGAAAAAAGTTACTTGAGCAAATGGAGTCAGAAAACAGTGGTCTAGAGTTAGGTTACTGGCCTACATACCAGAAATCTTGTGCTCAGCGCTGACCAGGGCGAGTGCATATGTATTTTTTTTGGCCTGCTTTGACTGTCACCTTAGCCAGTGTCCGTGTTTTTGTTCCACTGTCATGTTGGCCGTCATTGTCATCATCCTGTCATTAGGAATTGTAATTTTTCCATACAGATTCTCCCACCTCAGAAAAGCATTTCTTCACTTGACGCTATTTGTGTATGTGACCTCTTTACATATGCTTATATTTGTAACACCTGTTAGCATTTCATTCCTAATGAGAAGAATAATACTGGGTTATACACGTGGTAAGAGGAAAGGAGACTTCATTAGAATTCAAGGTTTTCTATAGGAAATTGATTCATGTGGCCTTGTACACACGATTTTGTCATTTGATTCAGAAAGCATCTATTTGCATGAGAGATTGACATGTCAGCTTTAAACATGATACAAGTGAACCACAAAGGAATAAAGGATTAAACTTTCCAGATTGAATTCAGTGTGTGTATTTTTATTTTGTACCTCGATCAAAGCCTCGGACAGACGATGGAAGAGGAGAATTGAGGAGGCCATGGACCGAATACGGACCAGAGAGCCATAGAAGAAGATTTTTATTTTTTACTTGGTTGTTTTATGTCAGAATACTATGTATACATTTTTAATATCTTACAAAAATTAAAGGCACTTTAGTTATGCAGCTTGTACTGCAATATAATGAATTATGTTGCGATCTTTAAAAACAAGTTTTATATTATGTGCTGCTTTATAACAAGATGACTTGTTTCAGATCATTTTCTAAGTACCTGAATGTAGATTTGGCTGAAAGATTGTTATTGATTTATAGGTTGTATAAAAATGCTACATTGACTGAAGAAATCTTTGGTGTTCAGATGCTTAGTATTGCTGTTATGGCAGAGTTTTGAAGATTTTTCCATTGTGACACCACATACAATTTGAGGGCAGAGTTGTTGAGTTGTTGCACCGTGTAGTCTTTTAGCTGTATACCAGTATTTGCAGGAACATGAATGTCTGTTCAGTTCCTCCGAAATGTTGATACGCTGTCAGAGGGTTACATCATGTAACAGAAGACTAGTCTCCTTTTCTCATAACAAGGAAATAGTAGTGTTAGAATTGAAGTGTGTAGCGATGTGCAAGGTTCCAAAGCAGCTCGTAAGTTCTTCATGTTACAGGGAGTACCTTGGAAGTGTCTCGTCGCCAGTAATGTTCTGTCACAATGACATGCAAGAGGGCAACATTTTGCTCTACTGTGGTACTATGACTGATAAAGAAGCCCTGCAGAATCCTCAGCTGGTACTTATCGACTTTGAGTATTGTTCCTACAACTACAGAGGATTTGACCTAGCCAACCACTTTTTGGAGTGGACGTATGACTACACAAACAGTGCATACCCCTACTTCACTGTGAACAAGAACAACTATCCAACGCGGGAACAACAGGTAGGTACAGTGAGAGTGTAAAAGTAATTGGACGTATGAGAACGGAGTGAAAGCTGAGCTGTGTGAATGTGATTTTGGTCAGAATGTTTGTGATCCATTCACAGATACTGTTCTTGTTGTTTCCAGGTTTCTAAGATATTGGTTGTTACAGAGCATATATATCTGTTTGAAGCATGGTAAACAAATTCTGCAGTTTGGTCCCTGATATGAGACGTAAATGAAATTGGTTTCCTTGTCGTTAACATTGGGGGGAAAAAGAACATTAGTTCAGATGAAATGACTTTGATGCCCGTATTGGTGACCAGCTGCAGTGTTCGTTACTGTTTTAGTATAGTATAGGAAGTTGGATTTCTTTTTGGGCATCATGTGTTAATGTGGCAAATTTACATACACATTTGGTTTAGTTTGCGTTAGCAATTAGTAATGTGCTGTTACAAGCAAGTAATACATTCATGTGAACACTTTGAATTGGCACAGGTTTGTTACTGGAAATACTAAATTTTGTTCTTCTTGGAAAATATATGAAAACTGTGATGAATGTTGTGTGTAAGTGTCTACAGGGTTTCTACTGGTTAATGTAGCAATGTAGTGTGAATGAACTGAAGGTGGTAACTTGCCTATATTCTGCAAAAGATTCCTATTTTACAGGAGTAAAATTGTGCTTGCTGCCTTTAGTATAAAGTAAATAGTACTCCTGAAACACGACCACATTAATAAAACACGGGATGTATTTAAATACCACGTGAACTTATCGTTATATTATATAAAAATGCTGTTCAAGGGTTTGATTTAGGTGTTATCATTTCTCTTTACAATAAAAACCAGTACCAAATTTGGATAAATATGGTGTGCTGACATTAATTTGTTTTAAGTTTATGTCAATTTTACTGTGATTTAAAAATCTGTAGGCACCCTGATAACAGTATGGCTGATGACGAGGCAGGTTGATTATGTTGGCCACCATTTTCTTTCTGTTTGTTGATTGCATTAATCGAAAGCTTTTTTTAAAATTGCACAGTTCTACCATACATGGCATGCAGGTTCATACCTGGTGAATACTGACAGTGGTGGATTTTCTGGCTGATAAATTTTAGGACACTGTTTTGCACAGTCTGACTTGTTAGCATGGTTTCTTTCTGATTATGTTTTCATTTCAGGACCATATTATTATGGTTACATAAAATATTAATCATGTCTGTACAGATTAATTAACACTGATATTTACATAAATATGTATTTGGTGGCACAGATAATCATTCAGTCTCAGTTTCTATCTCTGTTTGTGTGTGTGTATGAGAATTAACTCACTAACACTTCTTGTGTTAGTTTCAGATTAGGTAAGTGATTCAGGTAAGACATTTTAAGATATGGGTTAAACAGTTCATTTTCTAGTCTCTTTTGGTATGGTTATTTAAGAAATGTGGGATTTAGATAACTTTTCACACTAGAAATGGAATACAGTGTGTTGCGAAATACAGCATATCATGGAAGCTAGTGTTATGTAATGTTAAACTACATTGGTATTTAATGATGTATCTAATACAAGCTTTAATTTGGTGTGCAAATACACTACCAAGTAAAAATTTATATTAATAAGAAATGGTAGATGTTATAAAAATGTAATTGGTATGTTTATAATTTAAGAATATTAGTTGCTGGATGTCATTTAATTAACCACTTATGGGTTGCCAGAAATTTGTACCTAGTGTAGTGAATTACATGACACACAACTTGGTCTGAATTGCTGTTGCTTGTCTTGAAGCATATGAAAGTTTTTTTAGATTTGCCACATTAACTAGGTTGATTTGAAGGAGGAGCTAGAATAAGGATGTTTCTTTCAGGCTTCATGGAATTTGGAAGCACGAACATGTTTGTTGGCAGCCTAGAGAATCTTTTTGAGGCACCATGATGTCTCGATTCGCCTTGTTTTTTGTGTGTGTGCTTCCATTTCCCAGTTCGCTGTTCGCTGAGCGAATGAATGAACGTTGCGGTTGGAGCAACTGTCTCCCTGCGGTTGGTTCATCCTACCAGGGGCTTCCAGACAGTCCCGAGAGCATTCTAAGGCCCCCACCAAGCGCTGATGAGCACAGTAAAAATATATGAAAATTCTATTAAAATGACAAGTGGAGTATCATATTTCATTCTGATACTGATGGGATATATTCAGGGCACTTACTTGTTATCATTTCATTATCATTTTTTTAGCCATCTAACATAATTGACATGATTAAGAAAAGCTTTTACCTCTGAGTATGTCCCAGTGTTAAAATAAAATTGATTTATTACAAGTCAGAAATCATTTTACTGTTGAACTGAAGTGCCTTAGAGAACAAAAATTTGTTGTCATAAGAGCTTAGTTAAAAAAATAAACCAACTAATTAGTTTAATAGATTTAAGTTGATCAGTATAATTTGATTTTTGTAAAACTATATATTGAAGTATTTTTTTCCCAAAGTACCACACACACACACACACATACACACACTTAGCATGATTACAAGGTAAAAGGCAAAACATTCATACATACTTTTCACCTTTCAAAATGTTTCATACTTCTGTTTTGCATGTCTAGATTTCTCAGAATTCTCTCATCAGTTCCTTGAGTGAGATTAATGTATAAATATTTATTTATCTTCGCTTTAGTTCTTAAACTTCTTTACAAAATTGTTTCATCTGTTTTTGGTAGATTATTTTTCCTTCTCTG